TTTCATAAACTTTTCTATACTCCTCTGATTATATATTGGTAAATATTACAATATCATAGCACAACAACAGTGATCAGCAATAATGATAAGCCTAATACTCACAATAAAAATAATAAGGCCATATAGATCATAACACAGTCTTGAAGGTAAGAAGTGGATTATCCTTCACCTGAAATGTTTGTCTTTTCATCCTGAAATGCGAGGCAAATGTTAGATCACAATAATTAGGAACCACAAATTTCCACAAATCCCTTCATTTGATTGGGATGCCTCTTTTATTCTGGAGGGCAACGGCAGTGACTGTACCATCAAGCGTATTTTGCAGCATTAAACACGTATTTATACCGATTTCATCAGGTTCCGAAAATTCTTCAAAAAGAACACAAAGAATGGCCTTCTCAGCTGCCATAGTTGCAGCTCTTGCGTCATCAGAACAGTGTGTTCAACGCACCACCGTTTCCATTTCAAAAACGTTTTGCACCGTTTTTGTCGGGGCTGAATGCAGCCCAGATGTTGAGAAATGGCTTATAGTGAGCTTTAGTATTTACATTAGCCTAAAAAGTCTTTTAAAGGCTGTTGCATTTATAAAGCGAAATCAACAGAAACAAAGTACTGAAACAGAGAAAGTAATTATTTTGTTGTGATTTGAATGTGTATCTTTTTTTTTTTTTTACCCCGCATTCTTTTTTTTGTTTATATGTTGCATGTTTTTTTTTTTCTAAATTAAAACGCCATAAAGGCCATCATGAACTGAATAGTTTCCCATTACATCACATACGTTAATCATTTGTATATTTAGTATATTTTGATTATAGTTTTTTTTACACAAATGAAGATTTCAGACTTCAAGTTTTAATATTTATTCTGTATTGATAAGAGGATTTTTTTGTAATAATCTCTCTCTCTCTCTACACACACACACACACAGACACACACAGACACACAGCTATCCTTGTGGGGACTCTCCATAGGCGTAATGGTTTTTCTATTGTACAGACCGTATATTCTATTGAACTACACCAACCCTACACCTAAACCTACCCCTCACAGGAAACTTTCTGCATTTTTAGATTTTCCAAAAACTTAATTCTGTATGATTTATCAGCTTGTTTACCCATGGGGACACACACACACACACACACACACACACACACAGATAGATAGATAGATAGATAGATAGATATAGATAATAATGAAAGCACCCTTTGATTATCCCTAGAACTGAAGTACAATAACTTTTTCTCTAAATATTTGTATTTATTTATTTTGTATTTTAAAGTCTTTACTCTTTATTGGCAGTATTTTACGATTAGCATAACTTCAGACATATTTTAGATTGGTGCCTTTAGGATGTATATATGAAGTTGTATACTGTCAGGAGGTAGTTCTCTAACATTTGTGTCTGAAATAAAATCTAGAAGATGTGCAAGATTTCAGTTTACTAAAGCATTCCATTTGACCAATATTTGTTTACAGGTCTGCACATAAACACTTTGTAAAGAGCTGAAATGTATTATTGTGAATATAATAGTAATACAATTATAAATACAAATATAAATATATTAACTTATTTTCTCTGACATGACTTTAATTTGATATGTGTAACCGTGTTGCTGAACCATTCCATGTCATTTGTTTGGGAAAACTTTTTTTTTTATTTATTTTTTTTTATTAATTGTATATGCTGAACAATTAACATTCAAAAGTATAACAAAAGGTTACAAACATGGTGTTCACATTTTCTGGAAGAAAAAATAAAGAAAAGGGAAAGAAAAATAAATAAATACTAAATAATAAGGAGGGTATACATCAATAATCACAATAGAAAAGAGGAGTTTAGTTCTTTGAGCGTGTCCATAGTTCTGGTTGCTTTCCGATTTGACAGACCTTGAAGAGTTTCAAAATAAATCCTCAAATCAGCTTTGAAGTGGGAGATACTGGGCTTCCTTTCTGACCATTTACATTTGTGTATGTAAAACTTACCTAATAATGTTTGGAGGTTTAGCATAAAAATGTGACTCTTATCCATATCTTTTTTGTTTGTTTGGGAAAACGCTGCCTCGTGTTACCACCACGATTACGTCAAATGACGAAGACCATCTTTGTGTTTTTATTGGCTACGACCGCCGAAGGCGGGGCTGACGCATCAAACCCGGAAACGAGCATAACAATAACAAGAAAACAAATGATTTGCAGTCTGTACACTTTCCATACTATAATAGGACAAAATATTGCACTTTTCACAAGTAGTTTGCACACATTGACCCATAGAAATGTATTAATATCCTCAGCACGCCAAACAAACAAACTTTTAGTGTCAAACTATAAATAATGCATTGAATTCATCTGAAATGATGCTCACATATTTTTTTATAAATGGATACTATTTCAAGCTTGGTAATATGACATCTACACAACTGGTAATATTTGATCAAAAATGACTTAAATTCGACCTTTAAGACGTTGAACGTTGTCCACAGACAACTTGTCCACAGACAACAAGTTACTACCACACATAGCTTTAAAGTGCTAAATATGAATTCAGTCTGACAAATGCGTATGGACAGATACAACTGCAATATTTATGAACAATATTGACTATAAGGTGTAGTTTTCAGATGGGGAACTGTCTGAGATCTAGTCGTGGTAAAGGGGAGGAGGGGTGATCCGCAACACAACAGGAGATAAGCTTGATTTGTTCATTCTTCAACCACTGGGGCTCTTCTGCATCTTCGCCATATACAAACGCGAGGAAATTAAGCGAAAACACGGCATGAGCTCGACGGAAACCAGCGGCACCGACGCATCTGCCACCTTTTAATAACCGGACGCGCGTTTCCTCTCCGGTTGACCGACTGTACAGTGCTCAGGATGGGTAAGGAGGTGAACGGCGTCTCTCGGAGTCGCTTTGAGGCGAGTAGCCAGTTTATTTTGCAGATTGACATGTCGATGTAAATAATCGTGCGTTTTTACTCCTAAACGTCTTAAATCATTGAGGATTATTTAGTGTTGTTGCAGTAGAAGAGGCCGAGCTTCCGCAATCATACACATGAGTTCAGCTCTTCTAATCCCTTGTCAGTCTGTAAAACACGTTCAGTAATGTATGTTGACCAAAGGCAACACCAAATCCGGTGTTATGGCTCTTTTAAATCGCTATATTTTGTTTCTTGTCAGGTCTACTTTGTGTCGGATTGTATAAACACAACCATTGTTCCAAGCTTAACGAGCCACAAACGGTGCTTTAATATTTCTCTGTTATTTACGTGAAGCAACAGTAGGTTGGGATCTACGTTTCGATGTCTTTTCTAAATTAAACTGGTTAGCTGAGATTATAGGAGACGGATAATGGTGGTAGGCCCACAGGCTGAAGTGGGGAAAAACAGCCGGCCAAAACAAAAGCTGGATATATATACACGGGCCTTTACGCGTAAAAACACAAGCGCATTACAACTCTTTACTACATAGAACAGTTGGGCCTGTTTACGCAAACATTTAAACTTGTTGCTTCCCTCGAAGACGCAAGATCAACCGTGTTTAAACAAGTTATACCTGTGTTTACATCGGGTGTGTCTCAAAACTTAGTGAGCTGACTACTTAGACTGTATTTTCGAGGCATATCAGCAGCGTGCTGCAGTTTTGGCCGCCTGTGATGCTGTCTAGGTAGGCGGGTTACTTGATTTGACACACAGCCGTAGTGTTGAGGCACATGGCATTGATGCTATGCTTTATTATCGGGGGTAGTTGCT